TTTTGAAATTGCCCCTGAACTTATTGTGTTTTCTCTATTCGGCTTTTAAACTTAAATTTTGAGTCAAAATGAGTGTTGTTATCATATCATCACAACACTCTTTTTGTGTTTAGCCTTGGAAAAAAAAAATTAATACCACATTGGTTTTTTTAGAATGTCAATTGAAAAAGGAACAAAAATTTTCTTCTAAAATGTCAATTAATGTGGAAGAAATGAAAAACTATGATTTAGCTAGTTAAAAATTAAAATTAATAAAAAAATATTTAATTTCTCATGACTATCATCATATGTTAAAATCCTGTACTCATATGAAAAACAATATATAAGTAAAACAACCATCATATGGTAATTGGTAAGAGCCAAGGCCATACATCTAATAATTTTTTTCCACTCAATAGTTCTATCTCAACTTCCTAATATATAGGCTAAGAAAATTGATTGTGTGATACTTAAAGTAATGGGCATAGCATGGAGGCTTGATCTACTTTTAAAAAAAAAAAATTGGAAGGTTGGATTGAATAAACAAAATGAATTAAAGGGCTAACTTAGATGTTATTTTAAAATTTAAAAGAATATCAGAAAGTTTGTTTGGGTTATTTGTTACTGACTAATTGGCCAGATAACTTGATTCGTTCACTGCAAGATTTGTAAACTTCTGGGGACACTGATTTCTAATTAGTTAATTAATCAATCAAATTCGAAGAGTAAATCAGCTAACCAGTTATTTCTTCTCTTTTTTTGAATTATAGGAAATTTGGGGGGTGGGAGATGTAAAACTTAGGGTTAGAAAACAAGATCTTTTAATGCCTTGACCTTTCCTTTTAGGGAGGTAGCCACTAATCCATTAGGTGTTGAACTGTTAAGCGGGGACTCTAATTAGGTTGAAAATTCATGTTTTTGTTAAATAAATGTTTGTTTAATAAAGTGCAGTAATTTATAATTAACTTTTTTTTATTATTACAATATTATTGTTATACCTTCAATTATTAATATCATATATTTTTATCTTAATTAATCAATATGCCTTTTAATTTATTAAGAAACAAAAAATATAAATTTTTGAGAAAAAAATATAATGTAAAAATATAATAGACAATCAAATTAAAAAAATATAACATTAATTATTTAAAATATCACAATAATCTTACCCCGTGAGTACATATTTATTTATTATTTAATATTAAATGGCTTAAATTGAATGGACTATTATCACAAATTTAATTATTAATGCTATACTTTTTTTAGGTTAATAAACTATTATACCTATAATTTTAATACACTTTTAATTTTAGTGTATATAAAAATGTAAACTATATTTAAAATAAATTAAAGAGTATAATCATTCGTTAGTATAAAACAATGTAAACTTAGCAATTGAGGTCGTGTAACACCGCCCCTTAAGTCTAAAATTCAATGCTTGAGGACTATCGATGCCAGATCATCGAAAAATTCCTTCTATATGAAGGAATAATTGGGTTCCTTTTAACAAAACATGACACATTGACAAATCAATCATTTTCTTGCATGCCCGTGACATTGGTTCCAATAATTCTTTGACAAAAACTTATGGGGTCGACATAACTTATAAGAAAAAAAAAAAAAAAAAAAAGATTTACATCAACATATAATTTTGTCAGAATCCAAAAATTCAGTTCCGGTTGGTGAAATTATCAATCGGGACATCTACAGCCTTATGATCCATAAGTATTAAGTAGATCCAGTTGTAGTTGTTCGAACATGTATTTTTTATTGATTTGGACTAGCGAACACTTTTCAATAAATTTATATGATAAGTGCAACGAATGTTGTAACAACATTGTTACCAATAATCGTTGCACGAGCAAGTACCGTTCTTGATATGATGAAATCGATTCGAATCCCTCAAAATAATTTGTCTTCCTGTGATTCTGGTAATGTATTTGATTGCAGTATGACAATCTCCACAAACTCGCAGATTTTTGAACACCCGAATGGGTTTTGGTTTTGATGTGCTTATGAGACCAAATGCAACTGCAAGTTTCTCGCTGTGTTGGAGCAGGTTCTGCTCCTTCTGTTCTTCCTCCAGCTCATGAAGAACGAAATCAGTATTAGGGATGTAGCCTAATTCCTTTATCTTCAGAGCCAATTGGTCCAGTTCATTGTAAATTTCCTGTGCTTGTGGGTGTGAAGTATCGCCTACATGGAACTTGTGCACCTTGTTTTCCAACTCTATCCAGCTACAACCTGCTTCTTTGATCAAATTTCTTTCCTTCATATTTTTCCTAATCTCTGCCACGTCTTCCCATTGCCCTGCAGAAGCGTGCAAATTTGATAGCAAGATGTAGGCTGCTGGATCTTGTGGATCCTGCT